TTATTCCTCAAAAATAGCCACAATATTTTTTCCATGGATAGAAAGTTATTACATTAGCAAAACGCATAAAGAACTGAAAAAGTAATGAAATACATATACACAGGGTGCGATGGATAAATTGTCGTCTAAATGACACAAAAATGTAAATAACACTAACATCTCATTTTATCAGTTATATTTACCAAAATTACACAAAAAAATCTGGAAATAGTAAAAAGCAAATTTATTAAAATAATCGCCATTGGACTCAACTATGGTCTCCAAGCGACTTCGTAATCTCCTGCAACTCTTCTGACCGGTTTCCTTGTTTAAGTTGGTGAATGCTGCCATAATTCTTGCCTTCAGTTTATCTTTGGTGTCACAAGAAATTTTGTTGGTTTTTCGCTAAAAATGCACCCCACACATAATAATGAAGGGGGTTGCAGTTGGGGGAGTTATGTGGCCAGATGCAAGAGATGTGGTTGCAGAAATTGGCTGACAGCCATGACTGGATTCTCCTTGTGTCGCATGGTATAGAGTCCTGTTGCCAGATATAGCGTCTTCCAGCAGCCAACCTCTTGAACTAGGGCAGAACTACCTCCTCAAAGGAACTCTCCTCAGATTGACACCCAAACCCGCTAAAATGTCCGGATCTGAGATTCCGGCGCGAATCCCAAGCTGTACAGCATGCCGTTTTCTAAATTTCTTGCGAGGTAAATAACGTCATGGTGCTCTTTTTCTCACAGACTGTCCCAAGCTGATCCTACTATATTGTGCCAACGGCAAAATCAACAACAAACAACGCGCATGCGGGAAATTAAAAATATAAAATTTATCCATCGCACCACATACATGTTTTCTCTAATAACACTTTCTATTTCTAGGCTGGTATAAATTTCACTGTTTAAAAACATGAATGTCTTCTCAAACACGTGGACCCACTAAATATAAGGTTCATCGACATAAGAAATAATAAATAACGATAGAGTGGCTAGAGCTTGGGACATTTCGTCTGTGTGAAAAGGGTGGTAGGATGGAAAATAATCCTTGCTCCATAAGTCGCATAGACACTTTTGAAATGTGCAGGACAACTCATCACCACCAACTTAACGCCGCCGACACTATACCGCCGACTCAAGACCGGCCAACTTAGCGTCGTGACAACTTAGCACCAGGAAAACTCACCACCACCGTACTCAGCGCGAGGACATCTCACCGACATGCAAACTATGAATTTCTGTACTTGATCGATTTTGGTGTCCCCATTTTTTTTATTTTTTTTATTTTTGTATGTTGGGCTCTTCATTTATTAACAAGCATCCATTCTGTCTTCTTGCAATTGATTTTAATCGTTTTTTTCTCGCTTTCTTTCACTATTTTCGGTCAGAGATCTTGTAGTTTCTTTTTCACTGTCAGTTATCAACACTGTGTCATCTGCATATATTATGTTGTTAAAATCAGGACCGCCGGTAATGAATCTTGATTATCGCCTCACTGTATGGGTTGAATAATAATGGCTGACCACTCGTATCCAAATCTGTCTGTGTTTTCTTAACATCTACAGAGACCGCCTGTAGATTATACTATAATTATGCCGTGCAGACGTTAGTTTCATTATCTGGAGTGGTTACCAGTCTGAACATCGTCAGTATACTGAAACTGTCGGTCACGATAAATTGAGACTTTCTGCTGGCTCAAGTATTGTCAACTCCCAAATAGTTCCGTCTCTTCAATTTCAAGGCTTGGGTCCACCCGTGGAATTGTTTTCCTAGATCCGCTATCACAAGTTGACGGCCGCTGAGCTCTCCTCTGCAGGCCGATGATATCAAGAAGTAAGATTTATGACAAACTGTACTTGGTGAGATTCGAATATGAGTCTCATGGTCTTAAAGCGAACGTTTTAGCCACTCAGCCACGTAAATAAGTCGGGAATAAGCAAGAAGTCAAGTCCTTTCTATTTTTGCATATTTTGAACATACAAATTCAAAATTCTCATCCCTGTCTTTAGGGAACATTTTTTTTCTATCACTTAACGCTATTCTTGGGTTGGATAATGCAATGTTTACACACTCCCTCTCCAAAAAGAGGCAATGACGTAAAGTGCTCAATACCTCGAGCAAATAGACCGAGACAGAGTAGTAACAATGTAAAAACCAATGTAAAATTCGTTACAGCGAATCACACTAGCTGCTTATTGTCATCTGACTATGCTTAGTGCGATTTCGTTTAACATAAATACATATTGAGAACAAGAGGGAAAGAGGCAAGCAACGAATAAACTATCAAACGAAATTATGTAAATGGATGGGAGAACAAAGAATGGGAATGATATACAAAGATAGCTAAGTAGATATATACATGTATATAGTGACTAGCATCATGACCCGGCGTTGCCCGTGCTTGATTCAAAAATCGTACGACTCATACAGCAATCGCTATCACTTGACTTAAAATATTTTTGCCCTTCCTTGCCTTTAAAGGAGTGCCCTTTGCCGTGCTGATGTTGCTACATTCCTTACTTCTTGCCTCACACTGCGAATTTTTTCTAAGCTCTATACTAAACATTAAATCTGTTACGAAGAAAGAACTAAACAAAATGAACACAAAACGATCAGCTTTAAAAAAAGGACTCGTAACTGGAAAAACCGAATGAAAAAAGAATGTTAACAACAAATACTTTTTCACACCCAACCCAGTTCTGCGGAATAAGAATCAACGTTGAGTTTAAGCAAGCGAATAATAATAATAATAATAATAATAATAATAATAATGATATTGCGCTAAAAGAAACCAAGTGTCCCATCGACAGTGCCTATTTCATCTTGGCGATAATCAGCCTCGTTTTGAGAAGAGTATTAACAGGATGTAAGACGTGAAAGAAAGATGCGTGCGTTTATATGTATGCATGTAAACATCTATCTATCTATCTATCTAACTTCATATCTATCTATCTATCTATCTAGCTAGCTAGCTAGCTAGCTAGCTATCTCTTTTCTTCTATCTATCTAAACCTCATTCTATTCATATTTATCTCAATTACAATCTATCTATCCATCTAGCTAGCTCAATTTTAATCTATCTCCTTCAATCAGCTTTAAAAAGGACTCGTAACTGGAAAAACCGAATGAAAAAAGAATGTTAACAACAAATACTTTTTCACACCCAACCCAGTTCTGTTGAGTTTAAGCAAGCGAATGAGCCAATTGGAGTAAAGTGCCATGCATATTTAATTTTTTCCCACTTGTGACGAATGCAGCTATCGATTTTTTTTGCATGCTAATTAACATTCGTGTCAGTCAACTGTTAGCGCTCACGCTGGCCAATAGAATCATTCTGCCTATTCGTGGCAGCCAGCTATAGGCTCTCACTCTAGCCAGCAGTAAATGGCCGCAAACTACATGAAAACTTCCATAGAAGCATGAAAAAAATCGATTATTTCCACTATCGATGGGCGTTGGGAAATGCAAAGTCGGTGTTGGCCTTCTGGCTAAGTTGGAGCATGTGCATGTAAATTTTGGTGCAAATCCGTCGAAAATTGCGGCCGTTACACACACACATACTGCCTTTTATAGATAGAGATTTTCAAAGCTTAGATTGCAGGGGGCACCCAGTGAGGACTGAGCTCATTACTCAGTAGTAAGTGTTCTAGCGAGACAAGCTTGCTGACCATTGCACCGCCTCGAAGTGCCCAAATGATTTTCTAAGCGAAGCTTAGATGTGACACAAGGCCGAAAGTATGAGGTACCCAGTGAGAATCGAACTCACTACTCAGTCGTAACTGTTCAAGCTTGCACCACGCCGATGTACCCTAGGCATATAGATGTATATAACATCCTATTGTATATCTTGGATCCTCATCTTCTTGAATAAATAAAAATAGAATTAATATCCGCATGAATCAACTGTCGCAAGTGACGGGAAAAAATTCAAAGGAAATATGACGTTGAAACACGTGACATGATAAAAAAAATTAAAATTTACAAGATTAAAAAGTATTATAATTGGATGTCGGAAAAAGTAAACGTCTACCCCAATTGAGAAGTATCGACTAATATATCTATTATCTTGAACTACCAGGAAAGATATTTATAAGTAAAAATGAGTGAGAAAAGGAAGAAAAATATTATCAAAAGTATATTTGTTATCTTCAACCAAATAGGCACAAAAGAGAATTTACGACTAAAATAAAGACGCATACACTCTCTGTATGTATACATATTGTCACGTTTGTATACACTTATATGTTTCTGTGTGTATACACACATACATACAAGTATACACACATACATACACACACATACACACACACACACACAAATATATATATATATATATATATATAGAGAGAGAGAGAGAAAGAAAGAAAGAAAGAAAGAAAGAAAGAAAGAAAGAAAAGAAAGAGAGAGAGAGAAGTGACCGGGAAGAGATAAATTTGATTGAAGGAGATAGATTAAAATTGAGCTAGCTAGCTAGATAGATAGATAGATTGTAATTGAGATAAATATGAATAGAATGAGGTTTAGATAGATAGAAGAAAAGAGATAGCTAGCTAGCTAGCTAGATAGATAGATAGATATGAAGTTAGATAGATAGATAGATAGATAGATAGATAGATAGATAGATGTTTACATGCATACATATAAACGCACGCATCTTTCTTTCACGTCTTACATCCTGTTAATACTCTTCTCAAAACGAGGCTGATTATCGCCAAGATGAAATAGGCACTGTCGATGGGACACTTGGTTTCTTTTAGCGCAATATTATTATTATTATTATTATTATTATTATTATTATCGCAACCATTTTTAGAATGGACGCGAGGTCGGCCGTTCTTTTTAATCCATTTCACTTTTGATAATGCATCTTGTCGTCAACAAATCCATTTACGAAAAACGGAAAAAGGTTTTTGAAATGTACTTAGTTTCATCTTTTATTTTTAGACCTCTCGTTTTTTTCCCCCTCGCTCTCCTGGGTAGAGTTTTTTTTTAGCTTATTTCATAATGCATTATTTAGTTTTTATGAAATGCAGACTCATTCTCGTTGTTGTTCACTTTTTTTTCTTTCCCCGTATTAATTATCCGCCTTTCCTGACTATTTCTTTCTTTCTTAATTCATTTATTATATCTTATATTTTCTTTCGTTCCTCATCACTATTACTTTTCTTCTCATTCTTTTTTACTTTCTTCATTCTGCCTTTATTTTTTTCTTTTTTTTTCTTCTCTTATTTTTCTTTCGTTTCTCTCTATCGATCTTCGACTCAGTTATTTTCTTCATTATTCATTTATTTTCCACTCTGATTTTCTTTCTTTCTCGAGTTTTCACTCTGGTATTTTCTTCCATCTTTTTTCGATGTCGACTGTATTCTATTTTCTACTTTCTATCTGTCTTTCTTTCTCTCTTTGATATCTCACTCTAGAATTTTCTTTTCGCGCCTTATCGTCTCCCCTCTGTGTTTTTCTTTCTTTCAATTTTTTTCACTTGTATGTTCTGTTATCTTTTCTTTGACTTTTTCTATGGCATATTGTTTCATTGTTTTTCTTCGTTTCTTTTTTCTTTCTTTCTTCCTTCCTTTTTTTTCTCTCTTTCACTTTATTTTCGTTCTTTGTCGGCAGTTCTTTTTTTCTTACATTCTTTCTTTCTCTCAGTCATTTCTGTTTTTCTTCCTTTCTTGATTTTTTTTTCTCTCTGGCGTACTGTTTCGTTGTTTTTCGCTATCTTCGTCTCTTCCTGCCTTTCTTTTCTCCCTTTCACTTTCTTTTCGCTCTTTATCAGCGGCGCTTTCTTTCTTTCTTTCTTTCTTTCTTTTTTTCTTTCTTTCTTTCTTCCACTCAGTCATTACCATTCTTTCTTTCTCTCTTCCACTCAGTCATTACCATTCTTTCTTTCGCTCTTCCATTCAGTCATTACCATTCTTTCTTGATTTTTTTTCTTTCTTTCGCTCTTCCACTCAGTCATTACCATTCTTTCTTGATTTTTTTTCTTTCTTTCGCTCTTCCACTCAGTCATTACCATTCTTTCTTGATTTTTTTTCTTTCTTTCGCTCTTCCACTCAGTCATTACCATTCTTTCTTGATTTTTTTTCTTTCTTTCGCTCTTCCACTCAGTCATTACCATTCTTTCTTGATTTTTTTTCTCTCTAGCATATTGTTTCGTTTTGTTTTGTTTTTTCCTCTCTATCTTCGTCTCTCCTTTCCTTCCTTCCTTCCTTCCTTCCTTCCTTCCTTCCTTCCTTCCTTCCTTTTCGCTCTTTATCGGCTGCGATTTCTTTCTTTCTTTATTTGTATCGATCTGTCATTTCTGTTTTCCTTTCTATCTTTCTTGATTTTTTTTTTTCATCTTTGCTATATTGTTTTTTTGGTTTATTTTTTTCGTTTGTTTGATTTTTATCTCTGTTATCATTTTTGTCTTTCTTTTTGATCCTTTTTTTCGTGCCTTTTCTCCATCAACTTTCCTCTCTTTTTCTCTTTCTTTATTTTATAGTGCTTTATCATGTTTATTTTTTGTCCTCTTTGTTTCATTCACCGAACAAAACAGCAGAAACCATTTATTTTAGAGAATTAAACATAAAACGAACAAAGAACGAAACAAAAATACAGAAATACACAACGAAACAAAAAGGGTTGCCATACATACGTGCAGATTTGAGATATAAAAAAATAAAATGAATTTCAACACTGCACAGTTGTAGAATGCAGTAAAGCCTATTACCGCTAACTTTTATGAGCAGTGCTCAATATAAATATTTTCATACATAACACAAATAATTATTTAATGGATTTTTATCCGATATTTTTTTTGTTTTTTGTTTTTTTGGTGGGGTATAATTTTTCAACAGTAAAATTAATAAAACGTTTACCCACTAAAAATAACGTTTACAATAAGAAAAAAATACCACGAAATAAATCTATGGAGGCTCTGGATAGCGGTTTTACTTTCGTAACCATATTTACAGTATTTTCCTATTCTTTGAAAGTCGATTTATTATTTGGATAAAATTCCTGCGCAATATGTTAGTCCTCAGAGCCTCGCATATACTTCTAGAGTGTGACAGACTTAAGTTAATCTCTATTCCTGTTAGTGCATCCAGGAAAGTTCTGTTGCACGTTCACAAGGAAATGAAAGATAAAAATAAGCTTCTAGAGCCCTTCCTCTCTTATAATGCATCTCTGTTCAATGAAGCGCGGAACTATATTAACGGACGTCCTGTGCAGACCCGCTAGCAGACGGTCCAAAACTACTTCAATTACAACTGAATTGTTAATCTTTGTCTACGACTGGAAATCTTCAACGTCCGGTTTCTTGTCATTTGTTCCCAAAAGTTTTAATTTATTTTCATATCTATTATTTTATACTCCTTTAGCGAAGTGAACGGCCCTCATTTTACAGATTCTGTCGATTGTCAAAAAACGCAAAATACTCAAATCTGAAATAAATTGCACATCATCCCGTTCTATGTGGGTGTCAGAATATATTAAAATAAGAATACTATTCCTAAAGTAATATCCAGTTTAACGCATAATTGGTTTAGCATGGATTTGTTTTAGATTTCTTTTCCAAATTATTTTTCGTAATAAATTTTAAAATATTTCGTTTAAATTCTCGACAAGTTGGTTGCGACCCCTCTATCCCAAAGGCACTTTAAGCAAGACAACTGAATAAGATCAATTTACCCCTAGATTGAATAAAGGTTTCAGTTGTAAATTCCATGAATAGAGAGACGCTTGGAGTAGGCCGGTGTGTACAATGGACAAAATGGCGACTAACAAAGATGGAGATATTAATCGGAATGTAAATAATGAAAATAATTCGTTGAGAATGTTAAAGGTGGTGTTCTTGTTGCTATCTCCATTTTTTAAATTTTAATTAGTCCCTTATTCTTTTTTGTCTTAATACGTTTTACACATTTTCTTTGTAGCTTTTTTAGTTCCTTTTTTCTGATTCATTTTTTTCCTTCCATATTTCCTTATTTTCTTTGAACGTTTTCGTTCTTTCTTTCTTCTTTTCTTTCCTTCCTTCCTTGTATGTCATTCATTATGCACGCTTGGACAGTTATATTTGTTTTCAATTTATAATTGATTGGCAGAAGAATTTGTCTGCCTTTACATTCTGTGATAGACTGGCTGCTAACTAAATCTATAGCTATAGAACCCAACCTGCCATGCTAGTTAACCCATATTTAATCCATAGCTGGGAGCAAAGAAATCGATTCATAACTTTCCCAAGTGTATCTACACATAAGTGTATTTCTTAATTCTATGAATGCTATTTTTAGTTGTTATTTTTTTGTTTGTTTTTTTAGTTTACGTTACCATCCCTGATATTATTTTCTTTTCTGAAAAAGTGAAATTAATTACAACAGTCTTAGACTGAGAAGTCCTACTAAAGAACAATTATGCCTGCGACTGGAATCAAATCTTCTTCACTTTTTTTTTTTTTCCATCAGGGAAATGCAGGTTCGATTCCTGTTGGAAGCAATTTTTTTTCTTTAGTAGAACTTGTCTCTATATCCCGGTTGTTATTAATGTTTAAGAAAATGGCAGATAAGGATAATCAATAAAACACACGTGACCCCTGAAAAATAATGTTTATAGTAATAAGTAATAATGGCGGATGAAAAATCCCTTCAAAAATTGCGTAAGTAAATGCTAAGAACTCGACTGGAAACTCGAACTGTGCTCCCTGATTTCTCATTCCCAGCCGTGGTCCAACTACATCCAGCCCGTCCATCATCCAAGCTTACACCACCTACTATTTCCCAAGCAGTTAGTCATCAAGGTACTGATCAGGCTTAATGTTGCTTAACTTTGATGATCGGAAGAAAACAGGTGTTTCTACGTAATATGACTTTAAATTATGTTCTCACTTTACGGACAGCAATTATTTTTCGATTGTTCGATTTATGAGTGATATTTATTCTTTTTTTCTCTCCGAGTTTCATTTTATTTATCATATTTTCATTCTTTCTTTCTTACATTCATTCTTTTTTTTATTTCTTTTTTTTTCTTTTTTTCTTTTTTTTATTTATTTCTTTTTTCTTTCTTTTTCTTTCGTTTTTTTCTTTCTTTTTTATTTATTTCTTTTTTATATCTTTCTTATTTATTTCTTTTTTCTTTTTTATTTCTTTCTTTTTTCTTTCTTTTTTCTTTCTTTCTTTTTTCTTTATTTTTTCTTTCTTTTTCATTTCTTTTTCTTTCTTTTTTCTTTATTTTTTTTTCTTTTTTATTTATTTCTTTTTTATTTCTTTTTATTTATCTCTTTTTCTTTCTTTTTTTATTTATTTCGTTTTTCTTTCTTTTTTCTATCTTTTTCTTTCTTTTTTCTTTCTTTTTTATTTATTTCTTTTTTATTTCTTTTTTATTTATGTCTTTTTTATATCTTTTTTATTTATATTTTCTTTTCATTTCTTTCTTTTTTCTTTCTTTTTTATTTATTTCTTTTTTATTTCTTTTTATTTATTTCTTTTTTATTTCTTTTTATCTCTTTTTCTTTCTTTTTTCTTTCTTTCTTTTTTGTTTCTTTTTTGTTCTTTTTTATTTATTTATTTTTTATTTTTTTCTTTCTTTTTTATTTATTTCTTTTTTCTTTCTTTTTTCTTTCTTTTTTTCATTTTTTTATTTATTTTTTTCATTTCTTTTCTATTCATGTCTTTTTTATATTTTTTTTTTATTTCTTTTTTCTTTTCATTTCTTTCTTTTTTTTCTTTTTTCTTTCTTTTTTATTTATTTCGTTTTTATATCTTTTTATTTATTTCTTTTTTATTTCATTTTTCTTTCTTTTTATTTATTTCTTTTTTCTTTTTCCTTTCTTTTTTCATTCTTTTTTATTTATTTTTTTTTTTTATTTTTTATTTATTTCTTTTTATATCTTTTTTATTTATTTCTTTTTTCTTTTCATTTCTTTCTTTTTTATTTCTTTTTTCTTTCTTTTTTATTCATGTCTTTTTTATTTCTTTTTTCTTTATTTCTTTTTTCTTTTTCCCTTTCTTTTTTCTTTCTTTCTTTTTTTCTTTCTTTTTTTA